TGGTTTGAATATTCCAGGTATTAATTTGAAGGTAAATATTTACACTGATGTAAATAAGTGTTTTATTTACATAAATTTTTTATTTATGGAAAATAAATAAATTTAGGTAAATTTTAAGGTAAATATATATGGTAAATTTGTACACTGATGCAGTGTAAAGGCAGAACTTATAAGTTTTACCATACAGAATAAGAAAGGGTGCTCCGGCATAAGGTGACAGGAGAGGCAGCAGTTTCTCTGCACTATGGGTCATATGCACAACACACACTTGAAACACACACTTGAAATACAATATTGTGATAAACAGAGATTTACTGACTCCTTTATTAGGACTGCCATTAGCTCTGTAAATCTTGTGTTACAAAACAAATGTCCCACTGTGCTCTGGTAATAAAAACCTTAGTAGTGTCAGATGACTCTGCATGTGACTGGGAGTAGTTATCCATGGTTGCACTGTGCCAAAAAAATATTACACATAATGCCAGCTCTATATTTCTGGAAGGTAGGGGGATCCTTCTGCTGAAGTATTAGATGACAATTCTCCTTATTAATAAACTCCTACAGAAAATATTTGGCTTCTATATGCTAACCTTTCCAGCTGTTCTTGGTAATCTGTCATCTCACTTATGAAATCCCAAGGAAGAAATGGATTACAGGAGAGCTATGTGCCCTTGCAAAGTTAAGAGTCTCATATTTATGAAAGCTGCTCCAGCTAATTATTTGTGGCTTCAGGTAGTCTAAGCCATCAGGAAAAGAGTTACTCAAACTGTTTTGCCCCACAAAAAAGCAGGCCTTCAGGAACGCTGTTAAGACACTGAGGCTCAGTTAGATATGCAAAAGTACATAGGTTAATCCTTGCATTATCTCCTCCATAAAATGCAGGTGAGTCATGCAGCCAAACATTTACTGAATAACAAAACATAAAACTTTTTTCCATGTGCTAATGTCAATATCTGGTACCCAGCAATCCTCTAAAAAAGATACCTCCAACTGTTAAGCTTGGAACATGTGATGACAGCCATTTTACTGATGAAAATCAGACCCTCTCCTGCAAGCAATTCAGTTTGCACCAGCATTCTAACCTTAAATCCATGCTGTTTTCAAAGAACCGTTTTTGTTGGTTTTGACCACTACTCAAAGACTAGAATCCTACCCCAAGACAACAGTTTCATGAAAACCTAAGTAATAATTTCATAAATACATCAATTTCTCTGTGCATAGGGTATTTTCAGCTCTAGGTACCACTATCATGTGACTTACTGTCACATGGAACACTTGTATAAGTTTCATTTTCATGCAATCAAGCTCTGTGTTCTGTGTTTTCCTTCCCTGTCCTTATTCACTTTGGAAGGTAGCTCCCATTTGCCTGCATCCATTCATGGATTTCAGAAACAATTAGATTTATTCCTGCTATTGCTGAAAACATGACTAGGAATGAGGTATGTATTTTACACAACCTCAACATGTATCTGAGGAAATAAATTACTGTTTCTTCAGTATGTATGTACACCAGTCATAATTTGGTTCTCATGGTTACTATCAGTCCTGTGCAGTTGCAAAGAACCAAATTTAATTCAGCTGGATTGTTTTTTTTTAGTGCAAGTTTTCCTTAGGTAGCCTTAGTTAGGTGAAAAGCATTGTGGGTTAGGGGACATTGAGCTAAGAGCTATTTTTACACTGTCAATTTTGGGAGCAGGACAGTATTTAGTAAAAGTAATGGGAATCTTAATAACTAAGATAAGCACATAAGAGGGAAAAGGAGAAATATATTTTGCTACTCTACCAGTGCTTTTGTATAGCATTCCTGTCAAGGTTCCAGCAGCTATGGTGTTCAGATCATCTTCTGCACCTCGTGTTTTTTCAATGATGACTCCAAATGCACTGTAAAGTAGAGCTGGGGGGGAAAAGAAAAAATTAAATAACTTTACATGGTTTGAGGCCCAAAGCTTAGAATCCAGGCTTGGTATAGCTATTTAGATTATGCTTCTGAAGAACAGATTTTTCTGCTTTCCATTTGAAGGGAATCCTCTGCAAAATCCTATCTTTGGTGTTTCTTTTCCAAATCTCTTCCTGTATAGCTATTTCTTCTTTCTCGAGCTATAGTTTGGTTATAAAGTAGCATTCTTCATGACAATATGTGTTATAAAGCACTGACTGAAGTTTAAACCTATTTCGCTAGCTTGAATTTGTTTGAAAATTCAGTGTTTAAATTTGTACTGGCAGTTTCATACAGTCCTCTGTGGATGACATGAAACTAAACCCAGCACTTTCTAGGTTGAGAAAATTGCTGTCCATGTGTGACAGTGATGAAATGTGAGTTAAGTTCAGCATTCAGATCAGGCTACCAAAAGCTGGAGAACAATGGGCTATGTTTCTTTGAAAAATTACTATTAGAATGCTTAGGATTTGACATTTACAGCTATTTCACCTCTGCTTGTGCATAAAATCTTTATGCCCAGAGGGGCTTTTGCTTTGGGATAACTTTAGGGACTGTCCTGGAAAGGACTAGAAAGAGAAATGCGTGGGCTTTTTAGCATGGATTCATTTATCATATATACATTTTGATGAAAGGAAAAGCCCCCCCACCCTATCCTCATGCCTCATGATATACTCATATTTCATGCTGGCAAAGAATAGTGGAGTATGTCATCATTTTGAAGTGATAAGACAATGCCATTTAATTCATTCCTTGCCCTCCAAGAATTTGAAATCTTTCCTTCCAGTAAATCCTTCATAAGCAACCATAATAATGTCAATGAGTTAACAGCAGCATTGCTCTCCATTCAGCACAGGCAAGGGTATTTCAGTTTGTCTTAGCAGCAAGTAGATTAACAATAAGGGAAGGAAAAGCTGAATTCAACACAGTTTTTTAAACAGTTCCACACAGATGTTGCCTCTCTCTTCAGGAACAGAATGACAAAAATTGTCAATAGTGACAAAAAGAATCTCTGAGATACAGAAAGGCTGCACAGGTGAAGTAAGATGCAAAAAAAATTCTGTTCCTTGAAAGGCATTTCTCTGGTAGCTAGGACAAGACAGAGGTCTACCAGAATCCCGAATATAAAGTTCTGCTTAACCCTGTGATTTTGGAGGCCATATTTTGTAAGCAAAATGGCAATTTGTTACTGGAATGCACAAACATTTTCTTGAGTAATCTTTCTTCAAACACAGCTGAAAAAACCTGTTAATGTGTCACTTAAACTGAAACCTTGAACTGCAGCGTTCCTGCATCTCAGTTCTCAGACATGTTTTTGTTAGACTTGGAACAAAAAAAAAAAAAAAAAAAAATTCAAACAAAAAATGGCCCAATAAAATTCAGCAGGCAACATGCATTTCTTATAGAAAAAGTGCCTTTCTTGCTGCAGTTCAGAATCCTCCCTCTAACTGTGGCCTCCATACAATGCCTCAAATGCTACTGCCTAAATTAAATCTGCTCTTCAGAAATAAGACTGAAATAAATGTCATACATGTGACTTAGCATATACTTTGATGCATTTCTCAAAAGTCAAGAAGATGTAGACTGGGTTATAACATAATGTAGTCTCTGATTTAAATATTGCTAACTTCAACTACAACTTTGTAGGACAACAAGTTCCATCATGATTTTTCTTCAAAATAATTTAATCAATTTTGGATTTCTCCTTCTAAAGTTACTGCATCAGTTTTCATTTTTTAAGATTGTGGAAGACTGGGGGAAGGTAAAAAAAACCTTGTAATTTCTAGGGCATTAGTTATTTCACTGACTTTTATGAAATAATCTTAGTTTTTCTGAGGCAATTTATGTGATTCTATTTTACAGCCCACTCACACCCAAATCTGAGTTTATAGAAGTTTTTTTCTCATACATCAGGCTATTGGTCATTTTCTTCTCTCTTTTTTTCTAACTCACATTAGTTATAAACAACATTTAGGTTTAGAGTCAGTGGTATCACGTGTGATTTTTCTTGCTAATGTACCATCATTTAAAGGATAAATCTTTATACTGACTACCACATTTCTGCTTCACATAAACATTTGACAGTTGATCACATGACCACAAAGTCTCAGTGTAAGTTATTAAAGTTATTTCAGAAATATTAAATTATATTTTTTGCCTTAAGTTTTAATTTAATTGGAATTAATTAACAAGTAAACATTATCTGTAATTTCTAGTTATTTCTGATATAGCTAGAGTTTGTTTATAACATAGTAAAAAATTTGGCTTTTACTCAAAGGCTTTTGGCTCCTTATGCTGTAAATCCTATTCTAGCCTTTAATTTCCATTTTCATGTCTACTGAAATACCCTCAAGCCCGCAAAGGAAAAAAAATTGCTCTTTTTCCTGCTGGATTTAATAATGAAAATTTAGAGAACACTCTCATTCAGATAATACACAAGTACATTTTCTTAATAATTACATCTTTAAGGTCTTTCCCTGTGAAGGAATGACTTTACTTACCCAGTGATCCCAGAGTGTTTGCCCATAACGCTCCTTGCCGTGTCACCATATTTAGAATTCTGTAAAGGAATTAAAGAGGTATGAAAACCTTTAGCACTCTGTGTTTACATCGAGGCAGTGTTTATGACAGTAGGGCTTGTGTGTTTACACTATATATGTGCTTAACAAAACTGCAATGATGAACTAAAAGCTTTTGAAAGCAAATATTCAGTCCTACCAAGCCTTAAGAAATTTTTTTTCTCCTTTCAAGGCAAACTTGACCCTCTCCAAGATTCAAATTTTTTCCCTTCAAATGACTTTCTAACCTGAGTTGTCCTTCCTTACATGGTGACTACACACGGTTCCAGAGTAACTGACACACTTATGCAGACTTAGCTGGGTAAAACGTCTCCAAGAAAGCCTCAGTGCTCTTCTGCAAGGACCATGTGTCAGGGAGCGTGGGGATGCCTGAGCAAATGGTGTGGGCAAAAAAGCAAGTCTGGACTGCAGTAAGTCAGGAAGGGAAGAGAAAGTCCCTTTCAATCCCACCTGCCCACCCAGCACAAGGCCAAGAGGAGTGTCTGTGTGTAGGCTTCCAGACTAGCACCAAAGGGGAAAAGAGAACCTTTAGTGCACTCTCAGGGAAGCACAATGCCACTTCTTGCTGGTACCAGCTGTCTCCAGAACGGTGACAGCAGCAGCCAGAAGAAATGACTGATCTTTATCTCCCAGCAGTGTAACACCATCACAGGCATGGTATTGCTCTGGACAGCTGACTACCACTGGAACTTAGTTCAGCATTTAATGTCTGACACTTTCATTGCTTTATGTTCCATCTGCTTTAATTTTCTGTTGTTTTTTCTTTTTTTATAATTTTCATTAGGACACAGGTCTTACTGAATATGGTTAGACAATGAACTAAACAGTAATTGAACATTTCATTTTGAAACAAGAGGAAAAAAAATCTAAGAAGCTAGGATATTGACAACCTCTCCTTAATTACAACCCCCACCTTTTAACTTTGTATTTATTCTGAATTGATAAGAGAATCAGTAATTCTAACAACCATGGCATACTGTGAGGTATTTGGTGACGGGTGAGTAACAGCAAAATTAAAATTCATTAAGAAATAAATCTGTGTACATTAAGGATAAATTTGGACAAAATCTAGCTAAGAAAGTCTGTTCTCTGCACCTGATGAGGTAAAAACAGAACTTAATGCTCTGTTGGAAGGTGATGACCTTCAGCAGACATTTGCCTTGCAGAGCCAGGATAGGAGCATCATGTGCACTGACTGCCACCTCCTGGGCTTGACCTGCCAAGGCTCGTGCTTAACATCACAGCTTTCTCCAACTCTGCTCATTCCAAACCCTAAAATACAATTCTGTTCATCTAGAGCATCATGAAAGACTCATAATTATAGTGGTGAATATTTTGATAAAGAAGGGGATGAATATAGAAACAACTTATAAAGGAGCAATTCCAATATAAACTGTACCAGGAAATATTAAATTACTCTTCTAAAATTCCCTTGTTCCAAAGTATTCTGGGAGTAAAAATTTCCCATGCTTTCCCCCAGTTATTCTGTTCCTCTGGTCCCCAGTGTCTCTTTCCCTTAGGTTTTCCTACAACTATATCTAAGCTGCCATTATTTTAAGAAGAGGCATCCTGTTGAAACAAATATTCCTGTCTTTGCTGCGTTCTTTCAAACAATCAGGTAAGGCAAAAACACAGCACTGTCATGGGTGCTCCTGGATGCCATAACCCAGACCAGCTCCCCTCTGCAATGCCTGCTCAGCAGCATGCACCAATGTCATCCCTAATGCAAATCCAGGCCCAGCTCTGCATTTCAATCTTTTCCTGCTTGTGAAAAGCTTGGGAAAGAAGGGAGACTTGTGCTCAGATAAATTACAGCAGAAAAAAACCCTGAAAGTAAACACTACTGCTTCTGGGAATATTTCTACATATAAAAATTGCTTTGACTTTGAACTAGATTTTTAGTAAACATCAAAGTAGTAATTATTTCTCAAATATTTAAGGTAAGTCACAGGACACACCAATTGTGACTAAGTAAAAAGCAAAAAGGTTGAACTTAACATCACTGTAATTAACAACATGTAATAACTTGGTCAAGACAAATACTGACTCCCATTTGTCCCCACTAAAGAAAAAAAATCCCAAACCATATATTTTTGCAGTATATTCAGATCTAACCTTGTATAAAGTGGAAGAAACAACTCTGTCACTATGAAGTACATTTTTTTTAGATGGAACACTTACTGTACATTTCTAGGTTTTGACCATGCCATATTCTGTGTTTCCTTCAAGCCAAGTCTCAAACCATTCAGTGCACCAAATGCTGCCCCTAGTTGGAATAATATCAGTTATTACTTTTTAAGAAGAAAAAGAATAAACAATACTAGCAGCAAATACTGCGAACAGAATTCAGTGTATAAACTAAAATCAAGTATCTCTTTACTTAATGCTAGAACAGACAATGTCTTGCAGAACAAGACATTTACAATCTCATCCATCACTGTAGTGCATAGGTGTTACCTGGATAGCTGGGAAAAGTGAAAATCACAACCACCTACCGGTCATACAACATCCTCCAATGGTAAAAAAGGCCAGCTCAAATCTGCCTCGAGTTTTGTTGGCTCCTGTGGGCAAGATAAACTCATCTGTATCCTGGGGGAAAACAAAAACAAATGCTTTTGTATTTTCCAAGTCTAGTTCAAAATGTAAGCAATATTCATTTTTTCTTTAATCCATGCAATAGACTCTAAACATGGATATATATTTCTGGAAAATTCTTGCCTACAGTAGCACAGAGGTGGAATATACTATGTGTATACTGTATTAAGCATGAAAAAGGACTGTAAAAAGTTCCATTTACTGAGTGCTTTTTTTTTCCCCCTAGCTGTGCTAACTTTTTATAAATTACATCAGTCAGCCAAGGAACTCATACTGTGTGGGTTGTTGGTTGTTTTTGTTTTTAATGACTATTTGCTTAATTACTAATTACATCTTGCAGCAGGCAACACAAGCCTTCTAAAAACATTCCTGTTGTCTGATTACACATCACTGTTTCCTCACTGAGCAACCCAGTCTGATACAATAATGCATTAGTTTCCCACCACGCTGATACCTCTTTTCATAAAAGGCAGTTTTTATTTAGTATTTCCTTGCACTGAAACAAGTGACCTATTTTAAGCATGTGAAGAATGCAAGGAATACACTCACAACTAATGATGATCAGGCATGAAATCTGTGAGCTTGGTTAATTTTTCACTTGTCCATCTTTTTCCCACAGGGAAAGGCTTGTGTTCTTGCAAATCAGTGGTCTAAAAAGCTAGAGAAATAGCCTAGAGAAACTGGCATATGTGTAAAGATAAGGTGTACCAAGGCACTTCTTCAGTAGGAGACACTGAAGACGCCTGTTGTTGATAAGGTGCTAAAGCAGCAGAGCTCTCTTAAGCTTCTGTGCTTTCCAGCCACTGTATTATCCACCCCTACTGATGCATGACTCCAACAGCTGGAGGCCTAAGGAAATATTCTAAGGGGTTTTACTGGCCCACACTTGACACTGAATGTGAATGACAATATAGAAAAAATAGCTCCTAAAACTGTGAATAGTCCTATCAATAAAATGAACCTACAATATGGTTTCTATCTTCTTTGTAACTAGACAGTTGGACAAATCCAGTGTTCACACAAGTTAGCAGTTTCTAAGTTTTCACTACTGTCCCCAAAGCCAAGATGAAGCAATCCTTGTCCAGGTAACATCTAAGTTTCTAGAGGCAACTTCAAAAGCCCATCCTCTAAGCTTCTGCCAAATGGTGACATGCAAATTTATAACACCTGTTACCTGCTGCAGGCAGAAAACAGCTTGTTCCATGCCTGCATTCACAGACCAACCAAAAATGGAGGCTTAAAGTAATGAGTGTGCCATATGTTATTATGGGAAGACCTCTTATATTCTGAAATATTAGCTGTGTCTTTTTCCTTCAGTATTTGGAGTCCTAGGAACCTGTGGAGACTGTTTAGTGCAACCCTCATTGCTAAAAGAAGGGTCAGTCAGTGCCGGGCATTCAGAGCCATTCCCATGTCTTGTGATTCTCTAAGGAAGGAGACCTCACAGCTTGTATAAAATTCCCTTTTATTTCAATGCACTTTGCTATTACTTCAACACACCAGTGCTAAACATGAAGGGCAGTGAAGTGTTACAACACAGACTGCAGCCTCTAGTGTTACATCAATGGTATTTTTAGAACTGTTTCATGACACTAATGCCAACACCTCTGCATTTAAAGCAAACTTCTCTTTTGTTTCTAAAAGTCTCTTAGTACACACACTTTGTTCCAAAATCCCTGCTGTACCGTTTTTAACACCAACACATGCTCAGACAAACTGCTAACTAAACAAAACCACTTTAGAGTGTGTTTTTGGAGAAAGTCTATAAATAATCTCAGCTTCTTTCTGACCACTCAACAGCAGCCACAGTACTGAATCCACTTCCACCAGACACAGCCGTGGTGTTCTATCCTTCTGGGAATGCTACATTGTAATCCAGACTACAACAGCTTCTAGGCCCCAGAACTGCATGCACAGCTTCCACTTACAAGAGAAACAGTGACCCAGGGGACCATGAAACAAGGCACAGAGGTTAGCAGACACTGTGCAACTGTTGACCTTTAAGTGCTAATTCTAGAAAACTGCATGTTCTCAGATACTATAAGCCATATATGAAGAAAAATACTAACTAAATAAAGTAATTGACATGCATCATAATTGGATTAACTTTAACATTTTCAGCTACAGATAATATTTATGAAAATGAAAAACATAAAATATTATTTTTCCTTATGATGGCCTTGTTTTATATTAACTGATCTTAATATGTGCATGTGTGACAGCTACATTATTCTACAAAATGGGAAGTTTTACTTCATGATGGTCTCCCTCCAGATGGGTAATGACATAAGGACAGTGATGTGAAATGTGCAGCTGCTGTGATGGCAAAACCTGTTATCAGGGTTGGAGCTTGGCTGAACACCCCAGTAAACTGATCTAACTCTGATCACAGTTCAGAAAGCTCATCCATGAAAAGAGGGGAGAGATTCTGGCTGCTCTTACTGACTGAAGGGGCTCAGTGGAAGTGTGAGCAGTGCCAGAACTTGTGTGAGGTGGTGTTGGGCTGTCTGCCTTAAGGCAGGGAGGGAGATATCTTTCCAACAGCAGCAGGCTTGGATTGACACAGCAGCCCTACCTACCCTCTGCATCATCAGTGCTCATTTTCTTCTAGATGTCACAGCACTTCAGGGTTTATTAGGGACAATACTGAAAAAATGGTTGCTTTCCACTGTTTTTCAGTTCAAGACTTCAGTGCACAGTGCCCAACACCGCAGGAGATTTGAGGTGCTCATGTAATCACGCAAACACTGAAATCGAGTTCAACACAATAAATACACGCCTCCTTCTCACCTGTACTAGGTACTTGGGGTCCAAGTTTAAATACGGTGACAAAGGGCTCATCCCAGTTACTAAAAGGAAAAAACAGAGAACACGTTGACGCCAGCAATTCACGTCCCGTAAGGCAGAAAAGGGCAGATTTAGCGTGCGGCAGAGGGGAAATTGTGCCGTGAGGCTGCGCGGCCCCGAGCAGGCGGCCCCGGCGGGAGCTGCCCCGGCAGGAAGCGGAACGGAACGGGCAGAACGCGGCCCTGCCGAGGCCCGGCACCCCGCGCCCACCACCGGGAGGGGCCGGCGCTGGGACCGGCGCTGGGA